TGCGCTGGCTCATCATCGACGAGGTGGAGAACGTGTCGGTGGAGCTGCTGGACGCCGTGCACAGGCAGGTGAAGGACTCGACGAGGGACAAGGGAACCCCTGGGCCGTGGACGCGCGCGTCCCAAAACAGTTCGCCATGTTCGGAGGGCTCAACCTTGTGCTGCTCGGGGACTTATGGCAGATCCCGCCCGTCAGGAGCCTCAGTATAGCCGCCAATCCATTTGTCAAGAGACCCGCCAACGTCGGCCGCATATTGGAGATGTTCTGGACACAGGGCTTGCCGCATTCGGTGACTAACCGCTACGCCCTGACCCAGTCGCACCGCTGCTCAGACTTGTGGTGGAGAAGCTTTCTCGCGGAAGCGCGCGCTGGGGATCTGTCGGACAGGATGTACGATTTCGCCCACGGCTTCTCGACTGATGTGCCCGGCTCCTGGATGCCCGCAAGCCCCGGCAGCGCCGAGGCCTCGACGGGGCACCTCGGCTGCGGGAAGGCGAAGTGCCGCGCGCTCTGGTCAGTTGAGTGGCCACGGATGTTCGGAGAAGGTCGGGCCTGGGAGGACATGAAATCCCTGGGGTGCGCTGATTGCAGCGCGGAACGCCGTCGGCGCTGCCGCGTCGCCTCTCAGAGCGGTGCCAGACAGCGGGAGGTGAGCACGGCGTTCGCGGACGCGCTGCTCGTGCACCCGTACAACGCCCCGAAGAGCAGGATTCTGACGCTGCGAGCGGCGAATGCGGCAGCCAATGCTGGGAAGCAGCTCCCCTGGGTGGTGGCGCGCGATGCCCCCCTCACTCGGGACGACGCATGCAGGTCGACGGAGTCGCTCGCCCACGCCAGGCAGAATTGGCTCATGTACCCCGAGAACAAGACTGGCGGAGTTCCGGGTGTGCTGCCGATCTTCGAGGGGATGCGGGCGCGGTTCACCGCCACGGAGAATGCAGAGGCGGGAGCCTGCAAGCACTCCTGGGGTACCGTGACGGGCTGGGTCCTCCACCCCGACGACTCGAAGTTGGTGAAAGACCAGAGGTCCGAGCCGGAGCTGGTCCTGCAGCACGTGCCCGAGGCGATCATGGTGCAAATTCCCGGGAATACGGCGCCCCGCTTTGGGAATCAGCCCGCGGGTGTCTTCCCCGTGAAGCAGAAGGAGGTGTCCTGGGATCGTAGTCCTGGCTTCAAGGCCGTGGTGAAGCGCGCGGGGTTCCCGCTGGTCTCGCACTTCGCCGCCGCGGCCCACTGCGTCACCGGCGCCACGCTGCCGCAGGCCATCATCGACCTCCTGGACGCGCGCACGACGCCCCGTTCGTCCATGGCCCCCACGGGCTACGTGGCCATCAGCCGCACCAGGAGGGCTGACGACCTGATTATCACGCAGCCCTTTTCGCCGATGCTTTTCCGGCAGGGGCACCAGACTGGCCCGCGGCTCCTGCACTCCATGACAGCCGGGGAGTTGACGACGGAGCAGGCGAAAGCCGGCTGGGCCAAGGCAGAGAAGGAAGCGGCTTCCAAGTCGTCCAAGAAGGTGGTGGACGCCACGTTCCAGCGCGGCGACTGCCACCAGCGGAAGAGAGCGGGGAATTTCCCAGGCAGTGGCATGAGAACGAGCGACCCCGTGGACCACGCCGTGGCGGTGCTGAGCCAGGGCGCCTGGAGGAGGTGCGCCCTCTGCGTGCAGAAGCAGGCCGGAAAGGCTGGAATCGGCGTGCAACCCGCCCGTTCCGCCCCCTTCTCCTCAAGGGGCGGACGTCCTCGAGTGCTGCAAGTGCGGGAAGCAAAAGGCATTGGTCCACTTCAGACTCGGAGAGGTGAACGACCTGAAGGCGCGTGGGGACCTCGACCGCGCCGTCTGCATCGGCTGCGCTCCAAATCGGCTGCGCTTCAACGTGCAGTCGGAAGTCCGCCTGTTCAAGTGCGCGCAGTGCGCGGTCCAGAAGCCGACGGAGGAGTTCGACGAGACATTCTTCAAGCAGCACCGCGGGGCGAAGGACCTGATCTGCACTGACTGCATGGACAGGAAGATGAGACCCCTGTGCCCGGGAAAAGAAGGGCTTTGCGGGGCCAGGCCGCCACGGCGGTTGAAAAATGGGCACGACTATTATTGTGAGAGCTGTAAATGCCCGCCGTGCTCGGCGCGCGGGGTGACGCCGCGGCCGAAGATGGAGAAGTACACTGCGAAGAGGCTGCCGCAGTGGACATGCGCGGCGTGCCGCAAGAAGAGCGACGCTGCTCAGTGCGGGGCGTGTTCTGCCGCCATTCCCGGGAGAATCAGTTGGAGCTCCAATCGAGACAGCGGGGAAATCCTGTGCCGGAAGTGCCAGGGGAACCCTGAGGTCCAACCGGACTATTTTTTAGTCCCGACCCTCAACATAACAACCGGACTATTTTTTTAGTCCCGACATGTGAAATATACCAAACATGTTGTTTTAGGCTAATTCTAGAACTTGAGCACCCGCCAAGCGCGTCGACTTATACCTGGATGCGTTTTCTCGTTTCGATATCACAAAACATCATCAATGGCACTCAACATCATCATGATCACCCTCCTCCTCCTCCTCCTCCTCCCCCTCCTCCCCCCCACCCTCCTCCTCCTCCGGTTCTGCGCAGCTCTCGCCCTGGCGCCGCGCATTCGTTTTAAACAGATGCAACAGTCTCAAAAGAAACGCGGATACGATCGCGCCAGGATGCGCATCCTTGTTCATTATCTCGTTGATAGCCGATTTGGTTTCGAGTTCTTGTGGCGTGGCACGGAGGATGCCCAAGAAAGGCGCCACGGCCGCGAAGCGGCCCCCGTCCGACGCCAATGCCGACGCGCTGCTCTCCATATGGAGTCGGCATATGACGGTGGATGGGTTGCCCAGGGGATTATCCAAAGGACGGCGAGAGAAGGAGGGAGAGGAGGAGGAGGAGGAGGAGGAGGAGGAGGAGGAGGAGGAAGAGGGGGAAGAGGAGGATGAGGAGGAGAATGAGGAGGAGGAGGACGAGGAGAGGGAGGAGGTGGAGGAGGAGAGAGGAGGGAGGAGGGAAAGCAGGTGGGAGGGGGAGGAGGAGGAGGAGGAGGAGGAGGAGGAGGAGAGGGGATGATGGAGGAGGAGGAAGGAGGAAGAGGGGAAGAAAGGAGGAGGGAGAGCAAGGGGAGGATCAGCCCCGTTTGGAGTATACACAACCAACTTGCATGGAGGCCATTGGAAAAAGAAGAAGCCGTGTGAAAAACAAACAAGAGAAGAAAAATGAGGGCGGCAGGCCATGCTGTCGGAGACCATGAAGACGCTCAAGGCTGGCGGGGTCTCGCAGAGCATGGCCGAGGACCCCCCGTTCCAAACCCTTTATCTCTGACCAGAAGGCGGAGGAGGAGGAGGAGGAGGCGGAGGAGGAGAAGGAGGAGGAGGATGAAGAGGAGGAGGAGGAGGAGGAGGAGGAGGAGGGGGAGGGGGAGGAGGAGGGGGAGGAGAGATGGAGAAATTATCAGGCATGCAGGTTCAGGATGCAGCAGAGACGGACCCAGGTATGGGCCTTTGGGTTTGACCATCTTTGGATCGCGCCCAAAAGGAAGTGATGCTCCGCGTCGCGACCATGCGCGAAGACGCGTGGAAGCTCGCGGACGCCAAGGTCGACTGGGCGCACGAACAGTCCTGGATGATTCGAGCGATGCTTCGGCATTGCTCCAAGGCGTTGTCGAGGCCGTGTGGCATGAAACGTGATGAGGAAGGAAGAGGAAGGGAGGAGGAGGAGGAGGAGGAGGAGGAGGAAGAGGAGGAGGAGGAGGGCGGGAGGGGGAAAGGATGAGGGAGGAGGAGGAGAGGATGAGGGAGGAAGGGAGAAGGGAGGAGGAGGAGGGAGGAAGGGAGGAAGGAGGAATGGAGGACCTGACCTCACCAGGGATCCGCCTCCGAAGTGGGCGGCGGACGCGTTCGGTGATGAGGATGGCGAGGACATGGGGCAAACTGGACGGCCTCATGTCCCTTCCCGTCATAACGCCGACCTCTTTGTCCTCGTCTGCCCCGTCCTTGGTCAAGGCCAGGACGAGGAAGACAGGGCGAAGAGGTCGACGAATGGCGGGTGGGGATGGGGAGGAGGAACGGATGAGCCCGACCCCCAGGAGGAACCGTGCCCGAAGAGAGCTCGGCCAGCGGCGGCGGCATCCTCGGCTGGTTCATCGAGTCGGCTCGCGCACGTCGACGTCAAGGAGGGTTGGAAACTCGGCTTTGAGAAAGAGCTCCTGGCGCCGACGCTCAAAACTGTCAGCACGCTGCCCATCCCGTCTGCCCTGCCCCCCCCCTCCCCTGGATCCAGGACCGCCCAAGACCGTGGGGCAAAGCAGACCAAATGGGCACCGTGCTGAAAGTGTTACGCGTCGGCGCAAGGCTGCCTGGAGAATCAAGGATTCCGACGGCACGAACGCCCAACCAGAATACGCCACCATCAAGAAAACTGCCGACGGTCCCGTGGCAACATGGCCAGACGGTTTCCTGTGGAAGGTCGGGGGCCAACGCATGCATCCATGGGCCAATAACCGAACCCAACAGTAAACTGAATGTCGAATGACACAGTGTAGATGCAGGACTGGCGAGGGGTGTGGGGAAGGAGAAGAGGGGAGGGAGACGAGGGGAGGGAGGATCGGAAGGATGCTGGAGGAAGGAATGAGGATGAGGTTTTTCGCACTTCTCGAAGGTCGCGGGCCTCGAGGCTGACGATGCGAGCCTTGCCGATGCTGCAGTTCCAGCCGCAGCTACGCTCTTGTGGGAGGGCTCCAAAGGCGACGCGAAGGTCAAGGTGACCGTCGTGAACAACCACAAGCAGGCCAAGCAGTGGATTGTGATCTGGGAGGGGTCCTCGCAGCGTTCTCAGCTCGTCGTGAAGGGGCCCGAGGAGATTCAGAAGTACAAGGACTTCTTCGTCTCGCAGGCCAAGTTGTTCGCGGCGGGCTCCATCGACAAAGATGGCATCGAGGACAGCAAACGGAAATGGGTCAAGGAGAACACGAAGGCGATGGCGACCCTGAAGCGTCCAGCAGCAGCAAAGCCCGCTGGTGGTGCAGGCGATGCCGACGCTGAGGTCCCTGCGAACGACCCTCAGGAAGATCAGGATGATGAGGAGGACTCCCAGGGTTCCTGTTCTGGAGATGATGGCGAACACGACGGTGAAACTGAAGACGGCGGCGACGCAGGTGATGAGCACACCGTCCTGCGAAGGCCTGCCGCTGTGACGCCACCGACGCCAGCGCCCAACGCCCCGAGTGTGCCCGCAGAGAGCCCGAAGGCTGAGTCTGCAGCGATCCCGAAGGCTCAGTCTGCAGCGATCCCGAAGGCTCAGTCTGCAGCGATCCCGAAGGCTCAGTCTGCGATCCCGAAAGCTGCGAAGTCTGTACCGTCGACTCCGCCGCCGAGGGCTCCGAGGGAGCTCGTGCAGGATGCGCCGTCACCGACGCATATCCCCGAGTGTGATCCCATCCCAGAGTCCGCGTTCGGGTGAAATATTCAGCCGAATGCACGTGGCTGGTCAGGCCAATGTGACCCGTCAGCGCTGCCGTCCTGGCCGCGCGCACACGGCCGAGCCCCTGCGCTCGCTGTTTTGATGCTTTCTCGTGGCGGTCACGTGGCGGCCCTCTTACCTCATTAATTGGTGGGCGGCCCCATGGAGGGGCGCAGGGTAGGGGGGGAGGAGATGAGGGGACAGGCGCAGGAGGAGGAGCAGGAGCAGGAGAAGGAGGAGGAGCAGGAGGAGGAGGAAGCAATATTGTTTCAGACATGCATGGCGCATCTGTCTCACGCTCGGTGAGATCGAGCGGCCGATCTGGCCTCGCCTATTCGGCTGTCCGAGCTGCGCGACAGAGGCGGCGGGCTATTGCGCCAAGCAGTGCCTTTTTTCGCGAACGCCTGTGGAGTCAGAAGCAACGAGCTGAAACACACCCTGTCATGGCGAATGTTCGAATCAAACGACCCGTGGTGTTAGTCACCGAGCCATGGAAACTCGAGCAGCCAACGAATGCAAGTATCAGTGATAGTATGTTTGATGTCGGTTTAAACCTCCTCGTCGCAACACGATGTCGTGAATGTTAGCGGTGCTTCGCAAGGGGAAACAACATATATGCTCGCCCCTGCCCCCTCCCCACAGAGCCAAACCAGACCTCCAGATATCGGTTCTCCGTGTAGAATTCTGGCTCGAGCGCGCCATCTGTTCGGACTCGCGAGAGGGGTCTTCGCCAGTGCGTCCTGAAGCATTCGCAGTGGAGCGATGTCCGCATCCGACGCCGCTGCAGGCGATCACGCTGGATCCACGGAGGTGGACGCGCTCACGCAGGCGACGCAGCATTCACATCGTCCCATCGAGCTCGATGGGAGCGGCTCGCAGTCAGCGTCTGTGGACACCGCCGCGGCCACCATTCCCGCGGCCCTGCCGAACCTGAACGGTGGGAACTGCTTGCAGGTCTCAGCTCAGCCGTTGTCGCAAGACACACTCATGGAGATCATCCGCAAGCAAGAGGAGGCGCTCCGCCAGATGAAGGAGCAGATGGCCCAGGGGCAGCGAGACCAGCAGTCTCAGCCGCCCATGCAGATTGAGGGCTCGGCGAACGTTGCCCACCAAGCCCCCCCGCAGCCACCTTCGCCTCTGCAGCAGGTCGAGGTCGTCGAAGTGCAGGACTCCAGCCCCGAGAGCAACGGTGTCGAGCAGAACTTACCGACCGATGACGAGGAGCTGCTGCGGGCGATGGACGAGTCTGCCAAGAGCGAGGCCGAGAAGGTTGAGCAGGAGGAGAAGCTCCGTCAGGACATGAATATGGCTATCAAGCTCTCGGAGGAGGATGCGAGGAAGAAGGGGATCGAGGTGCCAGCAGACCGCGACCCAGAGGCAGCCGCGTCCACGGACCCGCAGGGGAGCAAGGTCTCACGCTTGCCGCAGCCAGAGCCAGCTAGCTCGGCAGGTTCGAGTGCGTCAGGCCAGTGCCAGGACGCTCAGGGGCCGCCGACGGCGAGCCAGGTCGAGGAGCTGCTGCAGAAGGCGGTCGCCGAGCAGAGGGAGCGCCAGCTGGAGGCCCAGGAGCAGGTGAGCGCGGGCGGCTCCAAGCGGGAGCGGCAGCCCGTGACCCCGCCACCAGCGCCCCAGAAGGATCGATGAGAAATAATGCAACACTCTGATGTCAGGGAAAGGCGAAGGAAGGAGGATATGAGGAGGAAATTGCCGCCTCACCGAACCTCACCGCCCAGCGGTGAGGTTCGGTGAGGTCCAGCGGTGAGGTTCGGTGAGGCGGTGAGCCAGCAGTTTTTGGGCGACCCCCAGAAAGGAGATCCCCCCGGCAGATTTGGAGACGTTGCCGTTCGAGACGCCGCCCAAGACCAGGAAGGATCACTTCTTGGCGCTGCAAGCTCGGATGAACAAGGTCGAGGACCGCCAGGTAGGATCAACTATCCCACCGACGCTGACAATTAAGCTCACTGCCAGCGGTGAGGCGTGGTGATGTGGCGAGGCTGCCGTCAGAACGGAGCTCGCAGCCATCAGTCTCTAACGTCTCGCCGCTGTCGGTAGGCTTCGGTATGAGTGAGAATGCATGATCCCCCCTTTTGTAATGTGTAGGGAGCTCAGGGGGGTGCACGAATGCGTTCATTGGCATTTGGATCTCGAGAGGACCAGCTGACACTCTCGGGCAAGGTCGACGAGCTGGCGACCCACGCCATGCTGATGGAGTGCCTCCATTCCGACGAGCTCGGCAGCTTTGTCGAGGAGAGAGGCTTCACCGTCGAGAGCATGGATGCCAAGCACTGCGCCGTGAAGTTCGGCAGCGACGCGAAGGTCGACATGCCAGGCCAGGAGGAGGCAGTGGATGCAGCCATGGACAAGGCGCTCGACGAGCTTGACACCAGCCAGTGGAACCCGAAGGCCCAAGCAGAACACCAACTGTGGCAGCGGACTCGGGCTTCAGGTTTCAACTTCAACGCGAATGGGGCCAAGGGGAACCCGATGGCCAGTCGTTTCAGGCGGGCGTGCGAGAAGGATCCTGACGGCCTCGGCGCTGACTACAAGGCGAAGGAGGGGGACACTGATGAGGCCGCGGCGTTCCGTGCCAAGTGGGCCCGCGAGAAGTACGGCAACTACCGCGAGGGCAAGATCAAGAGGGAGACGTACACCAAGACGTCGTGGACGCAGGGCCAATACATCCCAATTGGTAGAGTTGCGCATCTGGAAGGAGGTGGAGTTCTGGGATGGTTGCAGGCCACCGCTACAGGAGAAGGGGGAGGAGGAGGAGGACGAGGTGGAGGAGGATGAGGAGGAGGAGGAAGAGAAGGAGGAGGAGGAGGAGGAGGAGGAGGAGGAGAAGGAGGAGGAGGAGAAACAGGAGGACGAATGAGACGACGACGAGAAAATGGCCGCCCAAGGCGACCAGAATTGCCATACAGCGCCTGCAGCTTGGACCTCCTTGGTTCTACTACGACAGCGTGACGAAGTCGATCCGCATCCTCTATGTCACCGAGGGCTACAGTGAGGCATTCGAGCAGGCGTGGATCAAGTACCAAGAGTGGGCATCGGACGATGTGGAGTCTGCGGTCACGAAGAGGCGCCGCCTGGAAGGGCGCATGGGCACGCAGGCTGAGGGTCCAGCGCTCGCTGCGTCGGCACCCGTGGAGGACAAGGGCAATGCTGCAGTCGCGGGAGCTGGAGTGGACAAGTCGAAGACCGTCCCCATCGAGGAGGAAGCACGCACGAGCACGAAGCGGCACGCAAGTAGCAAGGAGACGGGCAGCGGCGCACCTGAGCCAGAGCCTGCAACCAAGAAGCCAAAGAGAGCAACTAAAGGTCAACATGCTCAGGCTCCACCAGAACCCAGAGCGGCGGACTCGATCAAGGAGCTCATGGTTGCCGCCAAGAAGACGATCAGCAAGTACCAGCAGTGCTTGAGCCAGTGTATCACGATCGAGAGGAGCATCAACAAGGACCCGAAGTGGAAGTGGGGCTCGACCGACAGCGACGCCCAGAATCTCCTCGCTGACTACGACAAGATGAACGAGTTCCTGGCCCAGGAGAGCAACGTGAATCGGCTCATCACCGAGGACCTCGGCAAGGTGCGCAAGAGCCTCGGCGACCTCGACTTCTCGGCGGCGCTCCAGAAGCTCCAGACATTGGACGTAATGGTTCAGGGCCTGATGACTCTCTCGGGAACGGTGCAGGAGATCTTTGCTGTGAAGTGCAGCAAGCACTAATGAAGTGGCCAGCGCTGGCTACTTCGTTTTCAAGAGGCGCCGACGAGAGTCTGCGCTAGTGCTCGAGCCATCTTCTCTTTGACAATGGGGGAGGGAGGAGGGAGAGGGAAGAGGGAGGAGAGGAGGTGGTGGAGGAGAGGGAAGGGAGGAAAAGAGGAGAGAGTAGGGAAATCCAATGCAGGGTGAGGGTGCTAGGGGAGGGGAAGGGTCGGGCAGAGTCGATTGAGCCGAAGCGGAGGTGGAAATCAGACTTTTTTGAAATTCGGGCTGCGCGCACACAGAATCAACGAAATCTCGCTGAAATCTGGACCGTCCGAAGGCTCACCGCTACCGGTGAGCCCCCCCCCCCTCACCGCCTACCGGTGAGGTTCGGTGAGCCGGTGAGCCAACCACAAAACCTGTAAAAACACATGGTTTCCTGCAACCGGTGAGCCGGTGAACCCCCCCCAACCCCACTCAGAGGGCTCACCGCTGAGCGGTGAGATCCGGTGAGCCTCGGGATTTTCAGGGATCTTTGAAAATTTCTCGAGATTTCAATTTGTTTCTTGCGTTTTCTGGACATTCGCTTGAAATCTTCAGGTTTTCCAAGGTAGAGGCGTGCCCGAGGTCTGATTACATCAGCCGTAGTGCGAATCATCCTTGTCGAGCTTCCGCACGGCCGTTGTTTTCGCGCGGCAACTTGTGCATCTCGCGCTGTCACGCTTCTTTTCTTAGCTGGACATCTGCCAGGGGCTGGCTGTCATGTGACGCCCAGAGTCACGCAGGTTGAAGGCCCGAGGAGGGAAGCAGAGTTGAACTTTAGGGAAGGGGAGGGGCACGAGATTGCTCGAACAGATGTCTGGCAACTCGATCACACGCGTTGCAGGCTGATTCTGCGTGGCGCTTATAATTTGTACGTTTGCTCACGGCGCAAGAGTGCCACGAGCGGCTAGTTCAGTTCGGGGTTCCTAGAAGTGAATCTAGGATTGGCGCTACACTATTGGCCAAACACAATAGATCGTTGTGCACCGAGTCACGTCGTTTAAAGTTCGGGGGGACGTTGCAAAAAAAACAGCAATTGTTCGGTAGGTCACGCTAGAGGGGGGTCGGGCAGGCACAGACACGCCAAACATATTTAACATCAAACAGACTGGTGATGTCGATCTGTCGTCGGCGGCCCGTCGCAACACCGAAAGGAGTGTCGGCCCAAGCGTTGCTAATTGTAGGCGCCATATTTTTTTGGCATCGTAATGCATGAAGCGGGCACGGCATTGCTTCAGGGTTGGGCGCGGCCGAGGC